AAATATGATTTTTTAAAAATGTATTTATTCGTGAGAGACAGAGAGAGAGAGAGAGAGAGAGAGAGGCAGAGACACCAGCAGAGAGAGAAGCAGGCTCCATGCAGGGAGCCCTAAGTAGGACTCGATCCCGGGACTCCAGGATCATGCCCCGGGGCCGAAGGCAGGTGCTAAACCTCTGAGCCACCGGAGACCCCTATAATTTTATATAGTTCTATTATGGCATATACAGTTTAATTACTTTTACTTAAGCTTACATTGTAATATTTCCACATTGCTTCTTAGTTATCTCTTGTTTTACTTTTTTTAATTTTTATTTTTAAAAAGATTTTGTTTATTCATAAGAGGTGCACACAGAGAGAGGCAGAGACATAGACAGAGGGAGAAGCGACTCCCAATGTGGGACTCAATCCCAGGACCCCGGGATCACGACCTGAGCCACAGGCAGATGCTCAACCACTGAGCCACCTAGGTGCCCCTCATCTCTTACTTTAAAGAGTTTAATGAAGACACATTTTCAACACATACAGGAACTTTTCAACATATGTATATAAACAAAGTTTTGAAAACTCAAGTGGTGAATGAATCATGTGAATATTGATCCCATTTTCATCAAACTAATGACTTTGCATTGCTCATGTCATTGGCTTCTCCCAAAGGTGATCTTGAAGCACATTTAGATATTTGCAGCAATGAGCATTCTAGAAACAAAACTAAAAGCTTTTTGCTGTGTTTGTGAGGAAGGCGAAAGTGCTTTCCAGGCATAAATTTCACAGCAATGGCAATAAGGATATGACTAACATTAGAGCATTGACCATCATCTCCCACTCATCAGAGAAATGGGATCCACAATGACACATGGCAGAGGCAAGAACAGACTCAAAGATGTTTACTAGACAGATCATTTGTAGGGCAGAGAGTAGATGTGAGTTTGTAGGGAATATAAAAAGTGCTTCTAGGGCAGTGGAGGATCAGTTCCTCTGTCCAGTTTAGCTCACAGGTCCCAAATGACAATCATCACCCTGTGCCTGATTTACTTACAACCACCCTGTCCCAAAACATTTTCCTTTAGAGTAAGATCTTAGAGTAGTGGTTAAAGCCAATTACATTTTTTCTCCTTTTTTTTGATGGGGGTGGGGGAGTGGATTCTAGAAACTACACTCATTCATATGTAGGCTCAAAGAATGAGCCACTTCTATCTAGAAAAAAAAAAAAGAAAGAAAGAGAGACACTTTTTTGCAGAATCCATAGCTTCTTTCAGAGAAGCAATCAAGTCAGCCAGATTTGGCAAAACAAAAGGAAGTGAAGCTCTTACCAGTTATCCTCACCATCTATCTATTCTCTTAGACATTGTAAGTGATAGCCACAATTTTTATGTCAAACTAGCCTCCAAATTCATTTATCCTCATTTCTTTCTCCCTCAGGCAGACTAAGCTAGTGCCAGTGTGTGCATAAATGTGTTTGTGTTTATGTAGGTTCCAGTGTCTGAATATCTCCGGTTGTGGGATATGCTTACTGTTTGTTCTGAAAAGGTATCAGAGGAAAAAGAAAGTGATATTTCTGGGAATCATGCTTTTATGCCACCTACTCATCTAGTTGACTCTCTAATTTTAAGCCTAATTTTAATAAAAGACGTTGAATAGCTCTGCCTTTATGATTTAAATGGACTTTCAAACTGGGATTTAACCATCTGATATAACAAAGTGGGTGGACTTCAGCCTTCAGAGGAAAAAGAATAAACATACTGAAAGCTGTAATTAAAATGTTCCGTTTGCCTCCAACCTTCTTAAGACAATTATTGTCAAACTTGAAATATCCAGTGCCCAAATTCCAACCTCACGTTTTGCAAAAAGTGGTAGGGGGTGGCAGCTGAAAACGTTCCAGAAAAGGCAGCTGAAAGCATTTTGTTAGAAATAACAGATCCACTGGATGAGCATGAACACTCTGATGCATATTACATTCAAATATACCGGTGGTTAGAGAACATTGGTCAATTTTCTTGAACAGAGGTGATTAAAATAACTTTGTGAAGGCCCCATTCTATAATGCAAATACTTCAGCTCCTAATGGTCCACATGGAGGAATCACTGAGGAAGTATGATGAAATAAGTCCTAAAGAAATCACAAAGGAAAACTTCAATACGGTACAATTTGGATATATTCACCAGGTGCTCAAGTCCCCAACCTTAGAGTCATCCTTGACCCATCTTGTCAATCACACCCAGGGGCAAGATCCAAGGTCTCTGGTGCCTGAACCATATACAGTAAAGATCTTAAGATCTTAAGATATACAGTAAAGATCTTAAGAAAAAAACACACGCACACACATTTTTTCCTTCGCAAACTTTCTGAAAACGTAAGCCAGTGAAAGTGTCCACAATAAATTCCCCTCTGTGCACACTGCACTCCTGTTGGTTCTACCTTCAGTATGTATCAAGAACCCAACTTCTTTCCCATCTCTCCCCTACCATCCTAGACCTACTACTTCCATTTCTTGCTTGAACTACTGAAATTTTAACTATGTCTTCCCTTGGGCCTTTATAGTGTGTTCATCCCACAGGCAAGCAAATTAGATTGTGTCCTAGGTTGGCTCAAAACTCCCCAACCTTGTGTACTGTTGTAGTGTATAAGCCCTTACTATGCCTTTCAGGATCCTTCTCTATCTGGCCACCCTGTGCCACTGGGACCAGGTTGTTCTTTACTCACTTCTCACCAGCTAGGATCCCTTGTTGTTTTGGGAACCTGCTAAATATGCCTCCAGGCCTCGGCATCTGTTGTTCTTAATGTCTAGAATATTTCTCCCTAGAATCCTTACTTCCTTCTGGTCTATACTTCAATATCACCTTTGCAGAGTACTCTGTATAAAACAATGGCATCCCAAACATCCTATCCTCCCTGTTTTGTAGTTTTCTCTACGTGATTAGCCTTTCTTTGTTTGGCATATCTTTATTTGTTTTGTTTTATTCTCCTCTTCCAGACTGTAGGCTCTGTGTACGGTGTTCACTGTTGTGCCCCATTCTAAGAACAATGCTTGACACCTAATACGCACATAATTAACATCTGTGGAAAAAAACAAGAGATTATCTAGCCTGGGAAATTAGGTTAATCATGAAGTCATTGGCAGAGGAAGAGAAATCATTTTTCAGGGAAATGGTGGAATGCCTTCATGCCTTCTGGATGTTCAGTCTCAAGTGATAGATTTTTAAATTATCATCACACTCTGTGTATAAATACCTATTTGTTGATGGAGAAGAAAGCAAGCCCTAGGAGTTACCCACCTAGAACAGGACCCCTCCCCGCCTTTTTTTTTTTTTAAATTTCAGATCTGGTTTTTGCAAAAGTTACCAAAGTTACAATGCACTAATTCTTCCTTCCAAGATTCACTCTTTTACTACGTGTTTATTTTACCTTTCTTTCATGTTCCAAATAGGCAAGGCAAATTTCACAGACTGCAAGGACAAAACGATTTCTTTTGAGAGGTGTTTTCTGGAATTGTGAACATGAATCGGCTGGTCATTTACTCTGAGATTTTACTTCTATGGGTAAGGTAGCAAAGCATCCCTCCCCTCCACCGGTCAGCACAGGCGTCTCTAATCCCATCTTCAGTCCTGAGGTCTCTCCAGGAGCAAGTGAGATCCTGGAGGGCGTTCGGAGGGCTCCAAAGCAGTCTTCTGCCGTTCAGAAGAGCAGTCCTTGCTTTTGGCTGCTTGTCAAAACCATACAGTGAAGGAAAGATGACTCGGATGTGTCCTGTCCCCCTCTCCGCAGGGATGCTCTTTAGGCTGCTGGTCTCTTGGAAAAGGCGGCGGGGGTGGGGGTGTGTGTGTCTTGGGACGAACTTCTCCCTTGATCATAGGGGCCCTCAATCTCTTCACCTGGGGAGGAGTCCCGGTGTTTGGGGTGGGGGTAGGGTGGGGGTACAGGATTTCCAAGTTAAGGCTCTCTAAACTCTAAAGAATTTCCCCAACGGAGCTCCCCGAGGAGACGGACCTTTCTGGGGTGCAGACTCCCCCCCTCGCACCAGGTCTCTATTTACCCGAAGACAAATGCGCCTGCTTTGAAAGCTAAAAACGTTATATGGTCTCATTCATTTGGGGGAATATAAAAATCAGTGAAAGGGAATACAGGGGAAAAAGGAGAGAAAATGAGTTGAAAATACCAGTGAGGGTGACAAAAGAGGAGAGACTCCTAACTCTGGGAAACGAACAAGGGGTCGTGGAAGGGGGGGAGGGTGGAGGGATGGGGTGACCGGGTGACGGGCACTGAGGGGGGCACTTGGCGGGATGAGCACTGGGTGTTATGCTGTATGTTGGCAAATTGAACTCCAGTTTAAAAAAAAAAAAATAAAGAAAAGGAAAGCATGAAAGGGTGGCCCGGGAGATCCTGTGGGCCCTGGAGTCCTTCCGGCTCTCTCTCTCTCTCTCTCTCTCTCTCTCTCTCTCTCTCTCTCTCTCTCTCTCGGTCAGTGAAAGCTGCAGGGGGTGAGCGCAGCGTCAACTGCTCATTCATTCAACAAATATTTATTGAGCGCCTGCTGAGTGCCAGGCACTGGGGGTGCCCGGGGCGAGGAGCGACCTGAGACTCGATCCTGGGTCCCCCAGGGGCGCGGCGGGTGCGCCTCTGCTCCCCCGGGGTGCGCCCCCACCTCCAGGGACGCCCCGGGCTCCGGCCTGGAGGGTCTCACCGGGGGAGGAAGGCGGGGCAGGGCGGGGAGGGCGCAACAGAAAAACGGAGAAGCCGGAGCCGGTGGGCCCCGGGGCGCCGCTCCCGGGAAGCGCGCGAGGCGGGGCCGGGGAGCGCGGAGCCCCGGGCGCGGAGGCGGCCCCGGCGGGCCGAGGGCGCGGCCGGCGGGAGGGGCCGGGGCGGCGCCGGGAGGGCCCAGCAGGTGACCGCCGGCCCGGCCGAGCCCCAGCGAGTCCCGCGCGCGCGGGCGGCGAAGTTTGCCGGAACATGGCGGAGGAGCCCGGGGCGCGCGGGAGCGGGGCGCGGCGGCGGCCGGGGCCCCGGGAGCTGTAGTAGCCGCCGCCGCCGCCGCCGCCGCCGCCGCCGCCGCCGCCGCCGCGGGGCGAGGTCGCCGCCATGGCCCGCTGGATCCCGACCAAGAGGCAGAAGTACGGGGTCGGTGAGTGCTCGCCCGAAGTTCGCGGGAGCGGCCCTGCCCCGCGGCGGAGGCTCCCCCGGGGGGCGCGCGGCTCCGACCCCCGCCCCCAGGGCGCAGGCGGTGCTGCCCGGCCGGGACGTCGCCCCCGGGTTGGGGAGCCTCCGCGCCCCCCCAAACGGCACTGGGGCTCCGGGACCTGCACGCTGCAAACGTCGAACCCGAGCGCTCGCCCGCGGGGGGTGTGGGCGTCGGGCCCGGGGCTCCCCTCTCCGCCCCAGCCTCGCGGATTCACGGAGTAGTTTGTCCGCTCGCGCACCCAGGGCTTCTGCGTGCCGCCTGCTGGGCTCCGCAAGTGAGGCCCCCAAGTGAGGTGTGCGGGGGAGGGGGGAGGCTGGGGGTGGGGGGTAGGACGGCGCCCCCCTTCCTCCAGGCACTGGGATGCCGGTAACACTTGTAAAGTGAACGGGACATCAAGCCGTGGGGTGGAGGTGATGGGGGAGACAGCGAGCGGGCCGGGGGAGGCGGCCCCCGGGGCAGACGGTGCGGACGCGCGTCCCTAACCGAGCGTGCCTAAGGGCGCGTAAGACCGCCCTGCGAGGCCCCAGTTCCGTCCTGGGGCAGATAACGTGAGGATTTTTTTTTTTTTGTTAAGATTTTCTTTATTCATTCATGAGAGGCACAGAGAGAGAGAAGAGAGAGAGGCAGAGGGAGAAGCAGGCTCCATGCAGGGAGCCCATGCGGGACTCGATCCCGGGACTCCAGGATCACGCCCTGGGCTGCAGGCAGGCGCTAAACCCCCGAGCCACCCAGGGATCCCCACAGGAGGATATTTTGTTAAGGAACCTGTGGCAGGTCCTGGCCAGGCACTGGGCTTTCCTAAAGGTGGTGCTCGAAGAGCCCCCACCACCCGCGGAGGGGGTGGCTGTTGTGTTGTTGGGGACCCGAAAGCCTGGCTGTGCCTGGTTTTGACCCAGGTGGAAAACCGCGGTCCTTGCACCTGGTGTGTGTGTGTGTGTGTGTGTGTGTGTGTGTGTGCGCGCGCTGAGGTCTCTTGGAAAGACTGCCATGAGCCGGGCCATCCCTGGGGCAGGTGGACTTCCGAGCGGTTCCCTAGAATAAACACAGTTGTGTGTGTGGAGCATTTTATCACTTCCTCCCAGGTTCATTCATTCGGTCCGTTTGTAATGTAATCTTTTATTTTACTCGCTTTCCCGGGCCCCATTTTTCCTTACCGCTTCAGTTAGTAGGGAGGGAGGGATCCCTGCAGCGCTTCTGTGCTTCCTGACACACTGAAGTCCTCTTAGGATACTCTTTTAACGACCTCCTCTAGGTGCTTTGCGACTCTGTAACCACAGAGTCCGTTAAAAACCCAACAACAAAAACCCTTTCACATTTAAAATAGTATCTTAATTGTGACCCTTTCTGTGTATATGTAGCTGTATATGTGATAATATGTACTGTGTATATGTAATTCCTTGTTGCCCCCCTATTCCAAAAAACTTGTTACCTCTTAAATTTCATGTAGAATCCTTGCACTCTCTTGTGGCAGCAACTCAGAAATAAGTGTTTCTTCTGACCCACAGTATCTGGTCAGAATTCGGTCCTGAGGCTTCAGGCAGGTGCCACTGAGTAGCCAGTGGTTATGGAAGGAAAATGGTCTGTGATAGATGGAATCGATTTATTTTTCAGCATTACAGAGTACTACTAAATTAAAGCATAATTAGCAATGCCTGCTCATTAGTTACTATTTACAAAGATAGCAGTTTTAATTTTGTTTCTAACAGGATCCAAAACTACTATGACTTTCATGTAGCTAATGCAAGCATACCCCTCAAATGTGGTTTTAATTACCATAGTCATAGGAGCAAGTGTGACATGTTTTCTTTTTAGTAATACTCCTCCCCCCCCCCCCATTCTGGAATCAGGTTACCATGTTATTTATCAGCAGTCAAGAAAAGCATTTGAAATGCATTTCCAGGGCATAGGTGGTAGCAAAACTGCCCCAGGATATAATTTGGCACACTTATTTTACTAGACACAATAGATTTTGATTAATCTTGGCTTGACAAAAGGACCCACTGTTAGGACAGATTAGCTGAGGAGATAAATCACCATTGTTTATTCCTAAAACTCTCTGTTGTTCTCAGCGCCTCCCGCTTGGAAGCCTTCCTTGGCCTACCGGGGTAAAGTCTAAATGGAGCCCAACTTTCAAGGTTATGATAATCTGGTTCGACCTGTCTCCACCAACTTTATCTCTCCTGGCTTCTCTCATTAATTTACCAGGGCAGACACTGCCCTTCTCTGCTCTTGTGCAACATGCAATGAAGAGGTTCTCCCTTTGGGACTTTGCTCCCAGAGTGCCCTCCCAGTTCTGTATCATCTCCAATCCAGCCTCTTCCTCGGGGCTCAGATGCATTTGCATTGCTTCCCCAGATTTGGTATGAACCGGACCTTCTTCCCAAACCCGTATGCCTCTCCTCACAATCACTACATTGTGCCACACTTTGTTACTTATCCTTTTATCCTTGGGTTCACTGAAACAGGTTATGGTTCTGTATCCCTGTCATGATACCAGTTAGAGAGCCTGTATTCAGTAACTGCTTGTCCTTGCTGTTGAGGTGACACTCTAAAGCCTTAACCTCATTTCCATGATGATTTAATGCAGTTCCTCTCCCCACCCCCCCACCCCCATTCACCACAGTATGAGTTTTATTTTGTTTGGTTAAATGTGCGTAGTGAGAGCCTTCGGTGTCTTTATTTCTTTGCAAGCAGAAAAATGAGATGTGCTGTTGAGAAAATAAGGAAGCATCGAGTAGACAGACTTCATTTAAATATAATTAGGAAAATTGGCTTGTTGGACTTTTTGGGGGATAGTTATCACTTACGAGTGTCTGCTGGTCAGATTGTGTTTCTGGGTGAAGGAAACCATGTGATAGTCATTTTGAAGCATTTCAATGACTCACAGCTACTCTGTGTGAGGGTAGTGCTTTGATCTCAATTTGAATTTTGCTAAGTGAAGCTAGCAGTCTCTTATATTATCTTGGTGCCACTATTGGCTGCTTCTGACATAGCCTAGATTTTTCTATGGGGACTGAAATGCAATCTGACTGGGCTTTCTTAGTTCTTAAACATAGCTCTGTTGGCTCAATCTCTAGCATTTTGGAGGGCCTAAATGACCCATGTGTGTTATCTGTTATCAAGGGAAAGGACCAATAGATTTGCTTTTTTAAAGTTCTAGTCCATTAGTATCCTGGTGTGAAGTGCTACGTGCCAAATGCTTGGAAACAAGTGCTCTTCCGTACAGCCATGGAAAATTCTCTTTTCTTCTTTCCTTTTTCTTTATTTTCTTTTCCTTTATTCTTTTTTCCCCTTTCTTGAATTTTTTTTTTTTTCTGTTCGAGGACATGAGGATATAATCATTTTTATTTAGATTTAAAACAAATGTCAGTGATATATATCCAGGTTACTCTTCTGATTATTGAAACATTTATGTTTTAAGTCTGCTCCCAAATAAGCTATTTATATTAATAACGGTCCCAGATTATGTTGTTGGTTGATTTTTTGTTGTTGTTGCAAAACAATTCATTATTGTTTGTGATCTGTATTGTTACAATGTGATAAAAGGTAGTGTGGGAGCATCTTTGCTTTCACCATTAGCTCTTCATCTGTTGGTTCTGCTAGGCCTCATTAATCTGAAAGCATTTAGCTTAGTAGAGGAGACTCAAATGGTGATGTAAAAATTGAAAGCAGACTCCTGTAGCCCTTTGTTAATGCATTCAGGTGTGCCCTGGTTCCCATCCAATCCTCAAGAGGAGGGTCTGAGGGAATAACTAATCCAGTTTCCCTTTAAAGAGAGGAAGTTGGTGTCTAAAGAGGTAAAGTGAATTGCTTAACACAAGATAACCTTTTGCTTGCATGAACTCTGTTGGTCCTCTGGTGAAGCCGCTGGATCCCTTTCTTAGAATAATGATTTTAAGTGTATACATTCAACTATGAAGAATTGAAAATGGAACCCAGTTGTATTGAAATACAGCTGTCAAGATATTTTTCAAAATTGTAATATTGTGATACATGTGCTTATTAATGCACTAAATAACAAGATCTAGTGGCAGGTCTGATAAACTACCATACTTTCGAATTAGTGATGAGTATATATGATTTTTTTTTAAGATATCTGCAGTAACCATGATAATGATATGAAAATACTTATGATTTCAGTTTGGTACAAGTTGGGGTTTATTGCCTATGGTCATAATTAAATACTAAGTTTTAGAAAATTGAGATGCATTTTTTCCCCATTTCAAATCCATGGATCTCTGAATTTTTTTTTTAGACTTTATTTATTTATTCACGAGAGACAGAGAGAGAGAGAGAGAGAGAGAGAGAGAGAGAGAGGCAGAGACAGGCAAAGGGAGAAGCAGGCTCCACACAGGGAGCCAGACATGGGACTTGATCCTGGGTCTCCAGGATCACACCCTGGGCTGAAGGCAGTGCTAAACCGCTGATCACACCCTGGGCTGAAGGCAGTGCTAAACCGCTGCCCAGATCTCTGAATTTGAACACAGATTAAAAATCCTTGGCTGAAGATCACACAGTTAATTAGTTATGGAACCAGAATAAGCAACAACAGTAACACTTGTTGATCATCTGTCTACTGGAGGCAGATGCCGCTAGATATTATACAGCTGAAGAAGCCTTTGCCCTAATGTGTTCATGTTCTAACAACATTGAGGCTAAGAATAAAAGAACTATAGAATTAATATTTATTATGAATTTACTTTGTGACTGTTCTAAACCCTTTAATTCAGTATGTTCCAGGTACATGTGGGGGTCTCAGAGACATTTTACAGTTGTCCATTGTCACCTTGATCTTTGCCATATCCAGGTGCCCTTGTGAAGCAGCTTCATGTCTGATTCCATGCCCTGTTGCCTTGTCTGTTTCCTACTTCATCTTTTCTCTATGTTGCTGCTTTTTGAATGTTGTAGTTTTTACTTAGTTATTGGAAAAGAAAAATCCTCCA